CTCACTTATCCCATATTTTGCCCGTTTATTGTGCATTCTATTTCAGGTTAACTTAACTGAAATCTCTGTATGGGATTGGAAATCTTGTCTTTTTCACAGCAGCTATATTCCACAGGTTTTATTAGTTATTTGAAATGTAAAAGACAAATAATCTTCAATTATATTAAAAGATAGCTACATGATGGTATTAAATTATTTAAGTTAGAAACCGTTTATCATATTTTTGCCGGTCACAGTGACTCAATTCTAGGTGTCCTGTATAAAGTTCTTACATTGTATTTAAAAAGAAACCAAAGGAAATCAATTCTTATCAGCATCAAAACTATTTTCGATATTTGTCGACATAAACTGACACGCCATCTTGCGACACTAAACAATGTCGCAGGAATTCTACCAACAAATGCTAATAGAAATTTCATTTTCATTTTAATCCGGCCTGAAATCCACCTTGCTAAATTAATAAATTTGCTAGAATTTGCTTCCTTTATTACATCTACCTAAAATCTTGTATTGAACCATAACTACACCCTTTGTTTTTTAAGTATGACAATCAGAACAGAATGATTTCCCGTTTTCATTATCTTCTTATGATGGGCAGGATTAATGTTATGTATCTGCACATCTAACACTCGGTTCTTTAGGTAATTTATTGAAAATCACTTCTTAACAATTTATAATGAAATTGGATAGACTAGCTCTTAATTTATTTCCTACAAATGCACATTGATATTACTTGCTCAATGTACAATATTTTGAGAAAGACCACAAAGTTCATTCTTATTTTTCAATAGATTTATAGAAATTAATTAAAAATGTATATTAGGTATGTAAATAAAGCGGTGTTATTTTATATACATCTACGTTTTTTATCTCTTCGACAACTGACTTCGAACATCAAACTGCATTAGTTTTAGTGTGCGCTATCCGCTCTACCATGATAATCCTCTCAGGATTCACATATTTCAATAGAGTATGATCATTTTCAGTCCTTAATATGAATAATAATAAAATACAAACCTTTACAAGTACTAATTGACCATTAAAAGAATAAGAATTCTAGCTATTTTTTAAAGGAAGTTTAGTGGCTTTTAGTTTCCCACTTGGATTAGTTTTAGAGGTGCGTGTCACACTGTTACAAATCGATGATCTGATAAATTCATAATCATTTATTCGAATAACACTTCTCAACTGATCTCAGGTTATTTTAAAGGTGAATCTGCCTTTGTCTACTCCACTATAACATTCTACACATTAATTGTATTTCAGGAAACCAGTCACTCAGTACTGACAAGGTAGAAATAGATTCTAAATACAATCTCTAAATATTTCTCATGTCATGTGATAAAAGTGGCTAACAAGTACACGAGAATATAAATAATTTTTCATAACTGGACATTTTTAATGCAAAACACGGGTCAAAAATGTGTGTTGCGTAACTTACCTCAGGAACTTCAGAACCGATAGACTATGAAATTGTCTCTTTACTTTCAAAATTATATAACTATAATCAACACTTTTGGAGATCTGTCTGAAAATAATGAAGTTCAAAATAGAAGCATAATAAACAATTGGGTGTTATGAAATGAAAACTTCTGTTTACTTAATAGTTTACAACGTTTCATCATGATCATTGAAGTTTTGCATGGTGGATAAGGGAATTAAAATAATATTAAGCAAAACATCTCTCTGTCAATCAAATATTTAAATTTGAACGCGTCCGAATTCGAACAAACGCAAACACTGAATTAGCAAAAGTTTGATTCTTTTGCTTGACAACTTATAAAAAACTGAAGAAATACTTATAAAGTCATGACCAGAGTTTAAATTTTAGCTATTCACCAGCTAAATTGAGGCTCATAGTGTCTGTAATAATAATGAGGTGTTCTTATCATTCATGTACATATTTAATTCGGAAAGCTAAGTAATCTGATCAAAAACAATGGTTTACCAGTTATTCTCACTGAACTGTTATAGGATTTATTTCGTTAGGAAACGCTCATATTTTTCTCTCACTAGACCAGCAATCAAACTCGGGGAGCGGAATAATATTAAAATCAAGTTACTGCTTGGTTCTGATAGCTCAGATTATAAGTTTCAGGAGTGATACTTTGGACACGAATTGTCGGTATCCGATTGCTATCTAGGTTTTCCTGAGACTACATTCATAGTCACTATTTATTTACTTCTTTGAAACTCACTAGTAGAGAGCTCAGTATGCAAACATCGGTTGGCGGACCGTTTTGCTATTGAAGGGGAGGAGAATTAATTTTCAATAACGCCTTATATGTTTCGAATGCTTCTATGGGGGGGGGGGACAAAAAGGCTTAAATCAAATTTTAATGAACCTAATCCCCCTTAACAATTCAGTTTATTTGTTAAAATAAATATATATTATTATTTTTATTTTCGAAAAAAAAATCGGACTGATGAGAATATGGATTGCGATTATTGATTACGTCATTGCCCATAGGAGTGGAAATAATTGAAAGACACAAATGCTGATCAGCTTCATTTCTTGGTAAACTATATTTCCTCTATATATGTGGACACACATTCAAATATGTGTATTTATAATCCATAATCAACAGAGTATTCAATCCTAAACAAATTAAGTGTTTAGGTTATATTATCACTTCATTTCAAAAGTTTAATAACTTCCTGTTCATAACAATCGCTTTTTATGTGGATTATAGTCATTACTGAAAATAAGTGCTGAGGGTACATATTAAAACTAAACTGTTGTTGCTTCACTTATTACATAATCATTTCGTATGGTACATTTTTTTTCAGACTTTATTTATATTAGCGTATTCAAAAACAACCAAAATAAAGGAAGTGTGAGTTGCATTTCTAATGTTAGTTTTTATCACTAACATCCTCAGTGACGTTACGATATAGACAAAATCGAGAACGTAAAGTGAAATCTGTTATGATTAATGATAACGGACTGTTTGTGATTTACAAATGCTTTTTTGTCCACCAACAAACTATGATTAGAAGGATATATATAAATGATACCATGGTTATCTGAACTATACATGAGTAATCTGACATTTAATTCTACACTTGTAATCAACTGAAAGCTAATAGCAAGGGTACTACCATCTTCCCTTAAATGTAGCCTATTCACTTTATTATTGGAATATTGCTATGCATATTTCTTTATGATGCGAGATGTTAGAAATAAATACAATAATGTGATATTTTTGCACATTTTGTATAAATGTTCGTCTAGTTATATTTCAGTTTATTGTTCTAATGCCCAATATGCATAGGAATTTGTAGGGAAAGGAATAAATTGTACCAATTAAGTTGAATTTGATGCATTGTACTTTATTCTTACTAGTTTTAAATGTGGTAAGATGTGTTTGGTTGTTTTCATTCGTGAATTATTTAACCGTATAGTGGTAGTTTTTCAAAGTAAAATGTCTAACTATTGCAGCAAATATCACGATTTTGCACCCTAAAGTAGATAAACTGTCCCTTCCGTTTGTTGCTTCACTCTTATCATTATTTTTTTTTAAATAGGGAGAATAAGACCATAGTTTATCTACAAATAGTCGAGCCAGCCTTTTAAAATATTTACCCCCGCCAAAAAAATTCCCCGGATAATTTTACCAACAATAAGAAAGTTAACAGTCAAGAATAAAAAGTTTCCGACCAGAAACTTACTAAATATTATCAGCAAATAAAGTTAGTACGTATCATTCTAAATGCACAGCTGAATGGAATGTCAATCAAATGAGAATGTGAAATACCTAACCGTAAAGTAAATGTATCAAGAAACCTTTTGTAAATGTAGTATACGAAAATATTAATAAGCTGTCCGGTTAATTAATAGTGGGCGAGATCACGTGAAACATTACTTAATAGTATTGAGTTCAACCTTAATTTAAAGGATTGAAATTTTACGGTTCTATTCTAAGTTGATATTGTTTGAAACAGTAATCTAAAAGATAAATTGCTTAGAACAATTTTCAGACTTGCATATTTTTTAAACGCACTTTCTTATGTTTATTTAGAATCCGAGGACTTGCTACGAAACCCGTACTAATGCATATTTTTATTAATCTTTTTCAAGATTAGTTCACATTCAATAAATATTTGTCTTGTTTTAAATTAAAAATACCTCACTACCATATTTTACAACAAGTGCATTAAATGGTCCAAATAAATTATCTGAGGGTTTCAAATTGTGATACTGAACACCTTACTCTTGAATATTATTACTGGTGCTGTTATCTTAAAAAATAATTGGTTGATTGTGAAAGTTAACTAGATTTCAAACACTATGACAAAAGATTACTCCCTTAAGCATATAGATATGTTTCTTCAAATATCTAGAAAATTAGTCCATTTTTTCGGTGAGAATAATCGACTTAAATTTCTTGCTTATTATTTTTTCACCTGTCTGTATAACGGCATTTTTTATAACTGCTACAATATTCAGAGAGTCATCTATAATATTATTTGCATAATAGAAGTTGCAGTAATTGCAAACCGTGTACTAAACTTTAAGTTCAAATTCTTTCGGTTCTTCGGTGCAGTGACTCTGTAGAAAAGTCCACGGATTTATTTGAACAAAAGTTTAAATGTTGAAAAAAATGTTTCTGTGGATGGTAATGTTTTATATTTAGTAATGTTTTCGTACAAATAATAACCAGGTTCATATTTTCTACAGAAGAAATCAACTTTGTTCATTTCGAAGACGATATACACAAGAGCTCATAGTATGTAAATAGTTTAATAATAAGAAATAAAAAAGGGATAATATTTATAATGGTACACTATCATTGTGTGGTACAGAATTAGCACCAAAAAAACAAAGAAAATGATGCTTTACATAGAACCGTTTTCTATTTTCTGGATTAAAAAAAAGCTGATTTGATAGTAAAATAAAGTATTTATGACTCTGTAGTAAAAAACGATAAAGAAATAAAAGTATTTGATTATTAGGTTGTGTCCTTGAAGTCAGAATTTTTGCTCACAAAAGAAGTTGGTTAAGTGAAATTATGATTGTTTGAAAATGGTGATATGCAAGACCAATTACGAGTTGCTTCTAGCGTATCTCGTATATTTGAAGATCGGTTGTCATCATCTGATGTAAGTGAAGTACTCTGGAGTTTTTCTTTATATCTTATTAATTGGCGTTGTAGTCTTGGTAAACAGTTGCTGTATGGGTGATTATTTAATGTATGCTGTAACATATCATATAATTTAGGACATGAATAACCACAGGTTTCACAAACACGTACTATTTCACGACGTTGATTTGGTGGATAATTCAACTGAATCCTATGTATTTTGCGTCGATGACCTTCTAATGAACAACGCTGGCTAAATGATCGTCCGCATTCTGGACAGACATACGGGCGTACAACTGTAGTTATTTTTTGGAATGAAAAGCAAAAATTGTATTATTGATAATTAAATAGTATCATTATGTTATTTGCTTAAAGTAGAGTATATTTAGACAAACATCAATGTAATTTCGTATTTAACTCAGTAAGATACATTACATCTACTCAGAACAAACGCATCTCAACATTAAGGCAAAATCCTTCTGACTATCAAAATTATCACTGTAATTGTTTATTTAGTACTATAATGACTGAAATCTACATAATAAATCCAACAAAAATCCGTCAATTCACAGCACTGAACTGATCATGAGTGTATTATGGAAGAGTATTACGAATTATGTTTCATTTTTATGGATAGAAGACTAGAGATTTAGTATTGAAGTAGGAAATCCACACATTAGTTTTCCCTTATCATGTTTACATGAAATTATAAGGTATTATGATTCTATCAAGGAACATGATTATTACTCTAATTGAACTTAAATTTAGTCGGTTTCGATTTGGAAACATTAATATGTTGGGATTTTGATCTGGAAAAGAAACTCCAATCCGTAATTGGATAAATTATATATATAATGCAATATTGAAAATTAAACTTACGAGTATGTTTGCGTGTGTGCCGTTTCATATCGTACTTATCGTTGAAACCTTTAAGACACTTAACACACAGATTGAATTTACTTGCACTGTGTGACAGTAAGTGTTGTTGCATTGGTCTTAAACGTTTAGTTGTACGGTTGCATCCTTTGCACAAATATGTACCGTTATCAAGTTTGACACCTGATTTTGAAGAAAAATTCAATAAAATGCAGAAATTATAACCAATGAGCATCATTTTTAACTATATTGCGGAAAAGAAATATAACTTATCGTCTCTTTTTGTATTCGGTAAGATAGTAAAAAAGTTAAGTTCCTCGATGATTTTATGATGGTGCTTTCGTTCTCATAATTAACCCACTATTTGTTAAAAGAGGTAAGTAGCTTTTAACAGAGAGGATTTTTGAATTAGTAAAAGTTACCTCATTACATTACGTTGATTCCATTAAAAACTTATTCGGAAAGATTGAAACAATGATAAGTTAAAAGAATAATTTTTTTCGAAAGTGACTTAATATTTAATCTCTTTTTTTAAATATAAAGCATAAAAACAGAATTATAGATCAAGACAATTGAGAAAACAAATTAAATTTCCTCTTATCCCGAATATTAAGAGTTATTGGGGAATAATAATAATATTTTTAATGCCATTAAAAAATTAAAAAAATCCACATTAATTAATAAGTTTCTCATGTATAATTCTTTTGATGAATTTCCCTCTTCATGCTGTAAAATGGTTATAAAATAATCTCACAGCATGTTCACGGTGAAAAAAAGGCTAACTGTATTATAGAAACAAAATTGAGTGGTGATCTTAAGAATGAGAATTATCAACTAAAACACATTTTAACCAAGATTTTTTTGCCTTAGGGTTACTAGCACCTTAACATTCCTTTGAACATGAGTAGATTAGGCAAATAATGTTACAAGAACTTTATCCAGTTGCCTGGTTTCGTTATTCTCATTTTACCATTTACTGAATGACTGCTAACTAAATTCAATATTTCATTTAAGCTTACCACATTTACATTCACTAAAATCATAAACTATGTACCTCATTCTAGTCAAACTAATTTCTATCCAAAGCAACTAATTTACAGTGATCAGAAATATTGTTAAAACTGTGTTTCGAGTCGAACAATCACCAATTTTTTAGTCGGAATTTGAATAATTTCCAATTCTAAGAAATGTACAATATTGTGAATCATAATCATTATTCTGTTCATTTATTTAGATGTATGAGTGAAAAAAAAAGTATTTTTTTATTGAGATCATGAACCGATTGATGTTAGACCACCATTGAAAACCTGGAAGCACTGGACGGCCGTTTCGTCCTATTGTGGGACTCATCATCAACATCAATCGGTTCATGATCTCAATAAAAAATACTTAACAATCTCCACAACCCCTAAACTGATGAAAAAAGTAGTCATATCGGTAAACACAACTGGTCAATTAAAGAAATGATAATATAGATAACATATTATTTAATAATTCACCACTGATTTGAGTAAATAAAAATTAAATCCGTAAAATTACATAAAAAATTAAGGTTAATTAAGTTCATCATTATCAAAATATAATGATATTCTTGCGTGCATACGTTAACTCATGAATGATCAACAGTCGCAATCTTTACTAAAAATATTAAACTGATCACATGATAATCTAAAACCAATTCATTTTTGTACTGATTGTTTGAATCTTCCCATTGATATTTAGGAGTACTATTGACCAATATCTTATCGGTATGTGTGAAACCTGTGCGGATTTCCCTGATATCGCCTTAAGTCATCAACATATCTACTTACATAGTTCATCTTACTATTTAACTTTTACTAGTTCATAGATATTCTGATCATGGTGTAAATGATGTTTCAAGTTATGTTTATGGGGTATTTTAGATGTTTGGAGAACATTGTAGATTATATAAGCAATACTGTAGCCACAAATAAACTCCTCTTCATTAATCTACTCTGTAAAAGAGTAAAAAGATTGGTGTATGAATGAGTTATTGTTTTCAAGTTATTTTTTATCATGAACTGTTAGGAGTCAGACAATCTTTAAAGCACCTGAAAATATCAGATCGCTGTTTCGTTCTACATCACGGACTCGTCATCAGTATTCAACTCGGGAACCCGTTTAATAACCTAAATGGAAAAACTCAAGTTACATTGCAAACACAGTTCTTGCAAGGCGGTGAATAGAAATGTAATAGTACATATTAGTAATTTTAAGTTTTATGTTAGATACTTCTCGGAGTATTAAGGTACTACTGTCAAGAGGTAATTAAGTTTGAACTGAAAGTCTCTTCAATACTACCTGAATAACAATAAACACTTAGCTGTTCTCCATTCAGGAGGAAAATCACCTCGAAGTGTATGGCAAGTAATCATAACACTAACAAACTTGATATCTATAAATTACTTGTAATCATTTGCAAACAAATATATTTTATAAGCAAAGATAGATAGTGGCTAGCAATGGAATCCAGGACGCACGTTTCGTCCTATTTGGGACTCGTCAGCTAGATGTACCTGCATCTCAGGCAATATCGAGGCATGCGCACAGCATGCACATATACCAATAACAGGCTGATCAAATGCAGTCTTAAACCTCAATGGGAAGATACAAGCAAAACAATACCAAGTGAATAAATATATCTGTTAAAAGATATTTTAATATTTTGTTGTTATCCACTCATTTGTATATTATTACTTAACCTATAAAACATTGTAATCCCAATACTAGGTCTGACCAGATTTTGTTTTTTCTCCTTCTGTTACTGTCTTAAGATGGCTGCTGTAACATTATAAAATAACTGACACACACACCATTAGTTAACCGTAAGTTAAACACTAGTTGTTAGAATGTGTTATTCTCCGTTGAACAGAATTAAATTTCACCTGGCCTTATAAGTAATTAGTCTTCCTATCAATTGCTATAATAAAATGCTTATGTAAGGTACTGTGAATATAATAGTCATAATAACTTCAGTAATAATTTCAAAATATTTAATAGAGTGGTTTCCGTGTAACTGTTTGGAAATGTGATAGCAGTATACCATTAGTTGATATTCTTTTGTTTCCAAACAATTGTACAAAATGCCAGGATTTGGTAAGACTAGTCTCTCAACTAAATAAAATATTGATGGCATAGATTCGAGCGACGCACTAGGAACTACTGTCAGAGTAATCTCTCATCAACATAAATAGTCTAGAACATTTCATTAAAGTAAACCAGTATATATATATATATATATATATATATATATATATATATATATATATATATATATAATACCAGCCTTTTGGTCGCTTAACTTCTTAACATTTGAAAGGATGTTTAAGTTTAATAATTTCCTACATTTTTATCATAAACAAATAGTAAAGCATGTATGTTATATCTGAAAACGTACTTACATAATAGTGAAGTTAAATGGACCAGTTGAATTTTTCGATCAATAGCAAATGGGTTGCGTATCGCAGCTCCATCATTGACATATTTTAAACACGGGTCATTCCGTTCCAGCATGGCCTTAACAAATTAAGGGAAAAAATAAGAAGCTAGTGGAGATTATGTTAGAATACCAATTTAATTATTATGCGATTCATACGAGAACATCATATACCACTAATATACATGTCCTATGAGCTGACCAATCATTTGGCCATGAGAAGTACTTTAGCAAGATACTACTGTCCAGTTGGCAACTGACTTTCCATATTTCTACACCGCTTCTCACAAAAGCAAATCAATCATCCGTGGTCCTTTAGGGCATCGTAACGTAGTTGAAAAATTCATATCATGTGGTTCGCAACCTCTTTTATGTCATATTTGTACATTTTTGTACACCAGAAGTTCCAATGTATGAATATGCTTAATTATATAGAGAATTACCATCGTTTCACTATCAAATTATTTTACTGATTGTTACTTAGTTCAGTAACATTATAACATTTTAATATTAATTAGATAGCTTTCAATTTGCAGAGAATATTCCGGTGAGAGTACATCGTTTATAAAACTAGAAAACTGCTCCAAGTTGACAGTAGGCATTCAGTCAAAACATTTACCAACGTGGTTGATACTTCAAATGTTTTCCACTATTTAACCAAAAGCAAATTAATTATGTCTACTGTTCATTAGTCCAAATCAGGAATGATACATGATTTTCATTTCTCAAACTTTTCTGGTTTTAATATATATATTCATAAAAAAACAATAAATGGAAAGAAGTACAACTCAAATTTAACCAGAACAAAGCGTTTTACCTTCACTTTTGTTTTGCTGTCTGATGGTTCGGGGCAATAAAGAATAACAGGTGTTTTTCCTACGTCAGACGTTTTGGCTCGTTGTCTAGTTATTACATCATCTTCACTCGATAGCGATGAACCACTCAAATCGTAAACATTCTTCATTGATTCTTGAATACGTCCCGTTTGTTTTAAACTGCCATGAATGGGATCATTATTTTTCACGTCTAATTGTCTATTGGTCATACCGTTAGTTATGCTGTACATTGATGTAGTAGGATTCAACTTTTTTGCACGCTGCTTAACTGAGAATTTCACAGTACCTGTTTCATTTAACGGGAGTGTCGTCGAGACTGAATTTGTAGACTGTATGGTTACAGTAGTGTCCACCGGTTGTGGTGGTGTAATTACACTCTGCATTTGAATTCCACGTGAACTCAGTAGTAATGGATTCATTGCTTGCAAATAACCAACTAGAAACTGATCGAAAAAAGAATTTGAGGTTTTTGTTCGATCTATTATCTCTATATTATTATTTCTTATGTTATCATCATTTGTATTACTATCTGTATTACTGGTAGTTTCAGAAAATACTTTAAATTGATCTGTTACTCCTAGTATGGACTGGATGTTGAAGGAGCTACCCGTTTGTTTTTCAATATTTGAACGCTTTGTCTGAGGTATCGCCTGATTAGATAAGAATATATGGGTGGATATTTCACATTCTGTTTTGGTGTCTGTAGTAATAACTAAATATCCACTATTTCTGTTATTAATCAAGTTAACATCATCCGAGAATGACTTAATACGTAGGTCAAGGGGACTTAGTTTATCAGGATTTGCAGTTTCTTTACTATAGTCCAAATTATTTGATTGCACCGAGTGGTAACAAGAAACAGTTGAACCTTTACTGTTAAATGAGCCTGAACTATAGTTAAATCCAAGTCGTTGATCAAGTTGTTTATTATTCTCTAGAGACTCGTTACTATTTTGAACTTGGTTTATATGATCACCAATGATAAAAGAGTTATTTTCGGCGTTGAATTGTTCTGAACAATAATAATCGTTTTGTTCGTGAAGAGTTTTTGATGGGATATAATTTAATCGTCTTGGTGTCGATGAGGCTTGTACATGGGATTCCAAAACAGATTGATCTTTTAAAGTTAAATCCAATCCACTGCATGTCGCATACGCTTCATCTAATGGAGAATTTGTGCGGTTCATTTTTTGGTCATGAACTAATGTGCATAAAGAAACAAAATTTTCTTCACTAAAACTATATTGAGGAATGTACAGTGAATGTTAAACATAAAACAAAAATTACAAAACATTCGTTTTTTTCGTTATTTAAGTGGACTGAATAACTACTTAATATTGAAAAGATTGTGTATTGATAATTTCTACTTTATTCGGCTCACAGATCATGATAAATTGTCTTGCATCAGGGTCACAATAAACGATTATCAGATACAATATCTTCATTAGCATAGGGAATTGTTGAATTTCGTAGTTTTGCATTGGGGAATGACTTTGATTGAGCAACCAATGGAAATTAGAAGGCTTTGGACTACATTTTTATTCTCGTAAGGGACTATTTAGTAATGGGCATGTAAAAACTGACCAAAGATAAGATCCAAACCCTACAGGCCCCCAGTCAAGAGTTTGACCCCCAGATTGTTGAGCTGGTTTTCAATGGTTTGTATTTCTAAACTCAGTCAATTGACAGTAGTGCACGAAGTTAGTCCGTGATTTAAAATTCCAGTAAATACTATCACAGCTATGTAAAAGTCAAACTCCAATTTCTAGCAATTTAGATTGATGCTGTGCCATTATTTCTTTTCATGTCGGTGTATAGAAACAACAAATAATTTTAAAATCTATAACCTTTCCTCATTTGTTCATAAGCATACTTCTCTGCAAGCTGTTTTATGATAATCTATACATAATTTAACTCAGCTAATTTGTTATACAGTGGCGATGTAGGAATATATTTGTTTATTAGGTTACCTCGTAATGGTTAGACTAGAACAAAACAAAATCATCGTTCGATTGTCTTGTTTTAATAAATGGTTGCTGTGCAATCTTGGTAACGAAGTCTCATTAATAAAATCATACTGCAAAATTCGTTTGACTTTACTATTGACAGTAGTGCTTGTACACATAGTCTCCGAAAATTGAGTAAGAGACGGGATATCAACTAAACTTACTCTATAAAGTTAAGTTTTATCTAGTTAAGCAAAGTCATAAGAGTGGTGTTATGAGTTTGTCAGTCAATCCACTTTTAAAATTCTTACTTTTATGATTTGTGACAGACTTACATGTAAATTCAGACTAAATTGAAATTCTAATCATGTAAAGCTTAGATTAAAGTAATAAATCACTGTATGCATACCTTTTGTTTAGCTCCGGCTTGGACTAACGAGACATATTCCGCTTTTATTTTCTGTGTATATATTGTAAAAGTTTAGTCTATGTACCGTTAAAAAGACTATTCAACCAATCATGAAGCAAGAAAAGGAATGAGGTCAAATTTTAATTAACCAATCAAATGCGTATATTTTATTGGTTGGCTTACGTTGCCTACTCGATAATACGGAAGGGGTGTAATAGTTTAGTTTTAGGCGAGTGCTATTAAAATGACTATGGTGTTGGGAGCTGTGAATAAGAAGACATTCGAAATCTCGCGTGAAAACTAATGGTGCTTGTTGTCGCTTTACATGCATTTTAACTGATATTCTTATTGTTATATCCTGGCGAAGATTAACTTATGGGTAACTTTTGAGAGCTATTAATGAACTAACATTGTACATTTGTTACTATTGTATAACTATTGCGTAACTAGATTCTGTATATTTATATTTCTCTTATTATAAGCTTTATTTTGACCTATAGACTATTATGATACTACTTGGTATTCTTAAATTATACTCAGTTTGTCGATTAGTCTCCCACAATCACTTTTGGGCTTGATCTTTCACAACTGTTATTTTTTATTTATGGTATGATGTACTTTAGTTTGCTTATATATAAAGCAAATATGTCTGAAATAAATGATTCGCACAGTGGAAACCGATATTGGCGTTCTGGACTCAATAGGCGGGGCTATGTAGAAAAAGAACTAATAAGAACTTTAGACTGCTCATACCGGTCGATACGACATTGTTGTAGCAGTGTTAAGATTGAATAAGTCGTAATGTGGTGTGTGCTACTGATGTCGACAGATATAAGTAGTATGTACGATCAATCGAAGGTGGAATACCTGCAGCAGAAGGTTAAGAAGATCGAAGAAAAGAGAACGAGAACAGTGAACAATTGCTGTGAAAATGAAGGAACGGTGAAGCCTGAGATGACATTTGCAAAAGTACCAGTCAAGTTTTAAACAACCGATTGACAGTTTGCATGCACATATATATATATATATATATATATATATATATATATGACAGTTTAATGGGGTAGATGAATGTCTTTACTGTCAGTAATATTCATAAAGTAGGGTACATTTTATGTCACCAGTTTAGATAGTCTTCAAGTTTTCTGATCGTTTGCACTTTAAATTTTATTCGCTAAGAAGTTTAACTGAGTATGAAGTCTAGAATGAAGCCCATTAAAATTTTTAAAATTCTCGGTGTTTATGAATTCATGTTATTATTTTCACTAAGTAATCATTTATTGATTCGAGATCCTCTGAGATTTTCTGTTAAAACCCACTTGACTGGTACATTGCATTTTTCTATCCGTCATTACACTGTAAACAGTCGGCGTTTTTTAGCACTGAATCGACAAAATATGACCATCGGTTCAGTCGTAGACCATAGAATAATTCAATTTACAAATAAATCTAGTATAATAGTCTAAGTTTAAAACCGTTTAGTTACTCCTTAAAATGATGTATACTCAGTAGATGCACCTATCCTTATATTAAAAGGATTAGTGAATAAATTACATTTTTTGACCGGATTTGAGAATTGTAACAAGATAGAAAAGAATATTTGGGGTTCGTTATGGATACTTAATGTAATATGTTTAAAAAATAGAGTATGTTAAGGCATCAACTGGAACTATAGGTCGAAACATATAGCAATACACAGTGGTGTAATACTGTCTAAAACACCACCATAGAAAGTTAGGGTAATAGCACTGAAAACTTTGTGAGTAAGAAACACTTCAAAAAATAACTTGAATAATTTAATTTATTTCGATTAAAAATAAATTTAACAGCTGTTAATAGATATCTCTTATTTAAAAAGTCCACTACAAAAATGCTATACTATCAGCTTATGAGAAGTCTGAATTGATCAATAATTTATCACACACTAAGTTATTAGGAAGAAAACTGTTGAATTCATACGTATAATTTATGCCCCTAGAGACAAGTTATTCTGCTTACATGATTTAATTTCTTCTTAATCATTTTTGACTATCATGCCAACAAAAGAAAGAAACTTTCAATCATAACAGCTTTGGTTATTAATGGGAAAATTATAACAACAAACAGATAATCACCAAAATGACCATGACAAGTTTATCATATTCCAGAATAGTCAGTATTCACATCAAAATGACAATGAACTATATTCCTAACAATAAGAAAAATAAGAAAAGCATGTACACGTGCAGTTTAGTTTACCATTCTCAGGTTACATTGTTATGAAAGTAATCATTATCAATACAGTTCACGAGACTCACATTGGAAAAATGACAAATTTTTCCAAACGGAAACTTATAATTACTGAGTCATTAATAGTACTAACTATTTTAATAGACATTATCTCACCTCAACTAAAAATCTTATATATAAAATACACATGGTAGAATACATGTTGCTGACCAGCATGAGTTGTTGAGGGTTACCCAACTTATTAAGTTTCAAATATTATGGTAGTGGTCTTAAAGGCAAATAATTTTTCTTCAATTTTTGAAAAAACTAACATCAGTCTACCTGAAATAAGTTATCACGCGGATTAGGCTGAGTTTGTGTATCCTCTTAAGTATAATAAGGTCAATTAATACCAAAGTAGATATTAAGCAAATCAGTCAAAGCTAAGAGTTATTCATTATGATCAAAAGTGACTTTAAAATATTTGTGTTTCAACTATGGTCTCACACAGATCTCATATCATGGCTTAAATATATTAATGTCTAGTGTGAACTGTAGTAAAGTTTCCACAAACTGGATTTTAATAAATTTTTGGGACATTTTAATTCTGTGCATAGAATATTCAACCTGAATAACTGTAGACAGAATTCATGTTTTTATGTATATCCTCGTTATGAAACATAACAGTAGAATAAAATTAAATTCTCAAAAACGGAAGTGTGTTTATTAGTAATTTTACTTTTAAAGTGATAAATATCCCAAATAATTGAATTTATTTCATTTATATTTTCATCAACGAAATGGAATAATGCCGACTACTGTATGATGAACAATTACTGAAAACATATCAGAGCAGAATTAAGTATATATTGATAACAGACGTGGTTATCAGATCGTAAAATGTATGATTTCATCAATTTCTGTAATAAAACTTATAAACACGAAGAAGAGTGATTCACAATGCTGTTAATTTCAAGTATTATTTTTTATTATTAAATAACTAAATTTCTATGGGTATTATGGTAAATCGAATCACCAGTTAAGGAGAAAAGGAAAGGGTTAGTAAGAAGTTTGGTAAATGTCTTGACCGGCTGAAAATAAACAGAGTTCATTTGAATGACATACAAAATTTGGATGTTATCCTTAATAAAGTTCGACGAACATTTCTTACTTACTTAATCACACCTGTTACCACTCATCGAGGAGCATTGGCCTCTCACCAGCATTCTCGATCGAACTCTGTCCCGAAAAATCCTTTCCAATTGCTATTCATTCTTTTGATGTCTGCTTTTAATTCTCAGAGCAGTGTATTTTTTGATCTCCATCACTTCCGTTTCCCCTCAAGATTCCAAGTTAGCGCTTGCCTCGAGATGCAGTTTGGTGTTTTCCGCAATGTATGTCCTATCCACCTCCAACGTCTTTTCCTAATTTCTTCCTCAGATGGAAGTTGGTTTGTCCTCTCTCACAGTGGACTGTTGCTGATGGTATCCAGCAAACGGATATTAAGTATCTTGCGCAGACAACTGTTTATAAATACTTGTACCTTTTTGATGATGGTTGAAGTAGTTCTCCGAATTCCAGCTCCTTACAATAGAACTAAATATCTCGACGTTCGTATTGACGA